CTCTGAGCAAGGCAGGAGAGCCACCCGAGGCTCCTGCAGGCGGCTTGAGCCCGGCCCCTCCCTCTTGCCAGAGTCGCACCTACCTGGGCATGTCCACCCTCCGAGACCTGATCTTCAAGCGCCCGTCCCGCCAGTTCCAGTACCTGCACGTCCTGCTGGACCTCAGCTCCCATGAGAAGGACAAGGTGATTCTCCACCGGCCTGGGCCCTTCCCGTCCTGAGGACCCAGCCTGCTCCCATCAGTCCCCTGGGAGGTGCCCTTCGTGCAGCAGTTCTTGGGTGGTGGTTGTTTTTTCACGTATGATGTCATGAAGCTCTTAGGATGTACACACATGTATACTCACCCTCCCAGGAAGGGCAGTTCCATTCCTGCTCCTACTCCGCCCGTGTGGTGAGCCCCTCTTAAAGCCTGGCGCTGTGCTGGGACCTGGGGCGCTGACCAGGAGAGGAGCAGTGTGACCAGTCAGCGGGCGGTGACACTGAGTGGGTGGCTGGGAGCCCTGACCCATCTGCTGGGGGATGGGCAGGGAGGAGGTCAGGAAGGCTTCTGGAGAAGGAAGCGTGGGAGCCGTGTGCTCTGGGCAGAGGGAACATGTGTGTGCGTGTGCTGAGAGGGCCCTGGACCCATCCCTGCTGCGGCCTCACGCCAGCCCCTTTCCTGGTGTCCCGTGGCCATTCGCTCAGCAGACCCTCCGTGCACTCCGGCTCGGCCTGTGGTGCTGTTGGGGACAGAGTGCCCAAGACCAGCCCTGTCTGTGCTCATGGCTCCCAGCGGGGGTCTGAGTGACCCAGGATATGGCCAGTGGCAGGCATTCCAAACAGTGGGGACCTCTGCCAACTCCCACAGCCAGGGAGATGCTGTCCCCTTTGAGGAACTGAGGAAAGCTCATTCTGGTTTGGTAGCAAGCAAGGCAGGTGACACGGGGTGGGCTGAGCAGGTAGGCGGCGAGGCGAAGCGGGACCGGAGTGGGTTCACAGCCGGGGGCGCAGGTAACTCGGCTGGGCCTGGCCTTTCTCCGGCGCGGGCCCGCTCACACGGGTGCTGCCGGCGTCGGCTCAGCTGCCTCCCTCCACTATCCTGCCACCACTCTCCGCAGGTGCGCTCCCAGGCCCTGCTGTTCATCAAGCGCATGTACGAGAAGGAGCAGCTGCGAGAGTATGTGGAGAAATTTGCCCTCAACTACCTGCAGCTCCTGGTCCATCCCAACCCGCCATCGGTGCTGTTTGGAGCCGACAAGGACACAGGTCTGGTGCAGATTCATCAGATGCCTGTTGAGCACGTGCTGTGACCCAGGCTCTGGACTGGACCCTGGAAACAGCTGGGTCCAAGCCGAGCCTGGCCCCGCCCCGCCCCGCCCACTGGGGAATACAGCAGAGTAATAGCCAGGACCAGCACGCCAGGATGGCGCAAGCAGGGAGCTTAGGAGCCCAGGAGGCACCTGACCCAACCCAAGGGGTCGGGAGAATGTCCTGGAGGACAGGAGAGCTAGCCGTGGGGCTCCAGGAGGGGCCGGGCAGGACCATCGCCTGTTCCCTCAGCAAAGGCCTGGTCCCCCCAGGACTACAGATGGGGAGACCTGGGCCCTAAGAAAATGAGCCATTAAGCTGGAAGGTGCAGGCTGTGGAGGGAAGCACAGGGCCTCCTGGGAGCACGGGAGCCCTGCACAGCCTGGGTGCTGGGAACGCTGCCACGAGAGGCACTGGCCACGTGCGGCCCAGAGGACGAGGAGGTGCGA